CCCTAAGGGCTGTTCCTTTCTTTCCCTGGAACTTCATAGCAAACAGATCACAACCCTCTACCATGCACCCATGAGACAGTGCTATCATTATCGGGCTACCTGCCTGTCTGACTGTAAACTTGATGGAAGAAGTTATTTCACATATATGCCCATTGCCTGGGGCCACTAAGAATTTACCAGGTGAATTACCATCCTAAGACATATAAGCTAATGTAAATGACTTTATAACTTAACCTTGGCAAAGATGGCTCAAGCTGTTTTCTAAACATGAAACTAAAACACAAAGTTTTATATTATGTTCTCATACCTAGTACATGGCAAAGTTCATGCATCATGACTAGGAAAAGAATTCAAGCATAAGAATAAGCACTGGGGGCTGGGGATGTAGCTCAAGTGGTAGCGCGCTTGCCTGGCATGCGTGCAGCCCAGGTTCAATCCTCAGCATCACATACAAACAAAGATGTTGTGTCTGCCAAAAACTGAAAAATAAATATCAAAAATTCTCTCTCTCTCTCTCACCTCTCTCTTAAAAAAAAAAAGAATAAGCACTGTGCCTTGCACAGAGCTCTGCATCTAATAGGTGCTCAGTAAATGCTGGCTGAGTAAACATGTGCCACACAGAACATCAAGAACAGATGTTTGATAACCAGGCACAGTGACATATACCTATAACCCCAGTAGCTCAGGAGGCTGAGGCAGGAGGATCCCAAGTTCAAAGCCAGCCTCAGCAACTTAGGCCATAAGCAACTTAGAGAGACGCTGTTTCAAAAAATAAAAAGGGCTGGGGATTTGGCTCAGTGGTTAAGTGTCCCTGGGTTCCTGAGTTCAATCCCTAGTACCAAAAAGAAAAAAAAGGCATTTGGTGATCTTTGCCTTTTCATTTATCCTTGGGGAAAAAAACAAAAGGCCTGAGGTTGCTGCCCATGCAGATCTGTGCTCCACAGAGACTTTCATTCAGCCAAAATGAAATACGGCCTCCTCCCTTACCTGCCACTGTCCAAGGTTATCTCCCAGTTCAGGCCCCCAATGTTAGTCTCCCAGGAACGCATGATGCGGCCTCCATTGGACACAGTGATTGCATCTGGAAAAGAAAAGACCAAGGTGAAATTATTTCCCAAACTTGCTGTCACCTCCTAGGGTCCATATAAACAGATGATAAACAGGAGCACCCTCCTCTTTTCCTTGTCAGACCCCATACAAAGGAAGGAACCAAGGAATGGGAAGGGGTTGCCCCCACAGAAAGCCCCGCAGGCCTCTGCTCACCCTGTCCATGGAGCAGCATAGCGTCCACAGCCCCCTCTGCCGTGCCCTTGTCCACGTGGCGCCACACTGAGAGACACAAAAGTCAGGTCTTACTATGAACATTACCATGACCCAAAAAGAGGACTGAAGAGGTCTTTGTTTGCATAAAAGCCTCCAATTTTATTTAGAAGGAGGAAAAAAATTCAACTAACTGCCCATGATGCAGTCCTGCTCGCTGCGTAGGAGGGGTAGAGAGGAGGCACAAATATGCCCATCTGAAGTGTCTGCTTATCCAGTCCCCACTGCCACCCCCATCAAACACGTAAATGAGATGGGTGTGGTGATGCACACCTGTAATGCCAGCTACACAAGAGACTGAAGCAGGAGGATTGCCAGTTGGAGGTCAGCCTGGGCAACCTGGCAAGACCCAGTCTCAAAATAATTTTTTTTAAAAAAGGGCTGAGGATATAACTCAGTTTAGAGTACTTGCCTAGCAATTGCAAAGCCAAAAGTACTATAAAGAAAAAAAAAAAAAATATATATATATATATATATATATACACATATACATAAAAGCATACACACAAAATAAATAATGATAAGTTTAACAAAAATATTACAAGAAAACAGTGATTATAAATTCTATTTCATGATTTTAGTGCCTAAACACAATCCACCCAGCAGATGTGATTTGAAGGTAGGAGTTACTGCAAAATAGTATAAAGTGCTTTCTGCAGCAGTGTCTTATTTAAGGATACTCAAGACTGAGACAATAAACTGCAAAGGCCAGTGCTAGGAATATGTGAAATAGTCAAAGGTGAGAAGAAGTCTGAAAAAATTATCACAATCCACCAAGAAAGGCACCTTTTGGCCGTCATGTCCCTGAATTGGGGACTAGTCAGGCAGGCACAGCAAGCCACGGCCACTTGGATTCACAGCTATCAGCCTTGCCACCCTGAAGCCAGTCATTCTGCACAGCTCACTCACAGATTTCCCCAGTTCGGGAATTTAGAGCTGCAATCACATTCTTCTCCGTGGCCACAACCAACTTCTTGGATCCAGGGGAAAATTCCAAGGAGGCAAACTTGAGCTTCCCAACATACTGCTGTCTCCTGAGAAAAAGAGTGCAGGGGAACATAAGGGGCAAAATCACTGCACAAAATGCTTTGCAAAAAGACAACTCACTGGGTTATCATCATCACACCTACCTTAAGACAGATAAGAAGTGGTTGTTAATGAAAAGAGCTCACTAAAGGCAAGATATCCATGCAATGCAGTCAGAAGCAAAGGGAACGAGGGTATGTACCTCTGAACAGCTGAGAAATACTAAGTCTTCCAGCTTAGGTGATACTTTAAAAAGCCCCTGTCCCAAATCCCACTAGAACAAAGCTAAAGTCTTTTCTGTATTCACTGATAGTCTGACTAGGCACTCACTTAAAAATGGAAGAACCCAGGCCCTGCCTTCGATGAGCATACAATCCAACTCTTTTCACTAGCTATGGAGAAAAAAGCATTTCCAACCCAGCTCCACAAACTGGGTGAGGCCTTCGTCCTCCGTGGCCCTTTGTAAGCCCACACATACTCAGTATCCACCTGATCAGCACTCACTCACTCACTCACTGGGCTACGTCCACCACTCAGCACTCTTACCTGCACAAAAAGGGAACAAAACTAGTTTCACAAAACTGTATTCCTGTCGCATACAGGAGCGCTTGCCCCTTCCTATCAAAAAAAGTCTGCCATCCCTAGCACACTAAGTACACATGACATTTACACTACATTTCTCTTTATCATGATGTTGTTTGGTCTAGGTTTTGTTTTGTTTTTGTTATTTTGTTTTTTTTGTGGGACTGGGGGCTAAATCCACAGGCACTCAACCACTAAGCTACAACCCATCCCTTTTTCATTTTTTATTTTGATAGAGTATTACACAGGCTGGCCTTGAACTTGTAATCCTCCACCTCAGCCTCCCAAGTACCTAGTCCAGTTTTTTTGTTTTGTATTTTTTTTAAAGAAACTAAACTAGTAGTAGAGAGATGGGTTTATATTTGGCAGTTTCTACCTGCATTTGCACATATTTTATTCTCACTGTATCCACTGAAAAACCCTACAAAATATGTTAAAAAAAAAAAAGTAGTAGTACCCCCATTTTACAGGTGAGAAACCCAAAGTCCAGAGAGGTCAATTAATTACTGTTAGAACTAGGACCCAAAATGAAGACTTTCTAACAATAAATCACATTATCTCTTGAAAACTGTTGTTTTGGCCAGTGCAGTGGTACATAGCTGTGGTTCCAGCTACTCAGGAGGCTAAGGCAGGAGGATCACTTGAGGCCAGGAGTTTGAGACCAGCCTAGGCAATACAGCAAAACCCAATCTCTAAATTGGGGGACAGGGGGTAGTGATAGAGTGCTTGCCTAGTATGTGTTAAGACCTGAGTTGATCCCCAGCCCTGCAAAAAGGATGGGGAAAGTGGTGCTGGGGGTGTAACTCAATGCATGTGCACAGCCCTGTGTTCAAGTCCCAGCAATGCAAAGATGGGTGGTGGTGTAACACCACTCATATGGAAAATATGAAAAAAGCATAAAGGTATAAAAACAAACCTATAATACCAATGATATGGACTGAATATATGAATCTATCTGAGACAAAAACAGTTCACAGAAGAGGAGGTATCTGAGTTGGGCCCTGATGGAGTGTAAACAGTAATAATGGGTAACATTTATTGATTGCACTCGATGAATCAGACTTTGTGCTAAGTACTTTAAAGAGATTATTTCATTCATCCTCTGAACTTCTATAGGACGGATGGACAGTTAGTCAGCTCGTTTTACAGATAAGTAAGGCACAGAGAGGCACAGAGAGGTTCAGTCACTTTCCCAAGATTACAAATTCTTAGGGGGCTAAATGGACATTTAAATAGAAGAAAGCCATCTACAGGGCCTTAAGGAATGGGTAAGTGAATAAGTTCATGGCATTTCCTGGCTGATGATTTTGGGGTGGCCATACTCTGAGCCCAGGGCTGCCCTGGGATGAAAAAGGGGGAAAGAGGCCTCAGTTTAAGACTTACAAGACATAAAGCCCTGTTTACGTGCCTACGAGACAACAGCCAATTAGAGAAAGAATGAAAGTCCACCGAGGCCTGGTAACCTCTGACACCCGGGAGACCAGCAACCTGACAGTCATAGAAATGAAACCTGAAGAGGGAGAAGGAATCAATGATCCCTGACCAGAACCCCAAAGCCTGCCTGTATGGTGGCGCCGACACCGTGGGCATGCAACCTGTACAGTACAAGGACCAGCTTAGAAGAGGCGCCCGACGCTTGGCTTAATGCTACTCGGTCGATGTCTACAAATTCTTGGTTTCTGATTTAAGAAATCACATATTTTCATTTTGCACAGGATGCCGCAAGTCATGTAGCCGACTGCTTCAACGGTAACCTCCCGGTAAGAGACAGGTGCTGGGAAAACAGCCATCTACTTCGCGAACAGGACGCACACGTACGCACCAATCAAACTTGCCCACTTGGTCTTCATACACTGCGGCCGCAGGGATAAGCAGCGCAGCCCAGAGCCAGCACCGGGAAGCCAGCGTCGCCGCCATGACAGGAGCTCAGGCGCCGCGGGTCCGGCATGCACCGCGCCGCAGGCTCCGCCCCCGCGGACCATAGAGTTGGGGTAGCACGCGGAGCCCTGGAGTGTGCTCGGGACTTGGAGGCCTCCGGGACTTCCGGGAAGTCGCTCTGCAAGCGCCGGAGGAAGAGGCGAGTCGCAGAGCCGATTGGGTCAGGCACACGCGAGGGCCGCCCCCGAGGGCCGTCTCAGAGGTCCGCGCGCCGCGTCCTGTCGGCCCACATCGCCGAGTGCCGCACGTGGCTTCAACGAGATGCCCAAATCCAAGCGTGACAAGAAAGGTGGGCGAAGGGGGCATCGGGATCTTGGGGGGGCTCTGGCGGGCGAGGACACGGAGAGGGACGCTGGAGCATCCGCGGGTGGAGGATTGGGGCGGCGGAGTCACGGGAGGGAGCTGGAGCCTGGACGGGTCCAGGGATCGGAGACTTTGCATGGCCTCGAGGGCTCTCGCAGCTCTCCTGGGCGGAAAGGCAGATCCCAAACACCTGGGCTGTGCCCGATGTCGATTTTGGCCCACGTTTTCCCCCTCAGCCCCTTCCCGTGTCCCTTCGTTCTCTGGGCTCCTGCCACCCCGGTTTCCTTTCCCTTCTTTCAGCACAGGCTTTTTGCCACGTCTGGCGCTTTGCAGTCTCTTCTTGGTATACTTGTGCTTCTTTTTTCATGGGGCTGGTCCCTTCTTGGTTGTCAGTTTACGGGCACCTTCTGAGAGCGTTCCCGACCACCTTTACTATGCTGCCGTGAGCCTCGCGGCGGACCTCTGGCACATTCAAACAAATGTATAGGGGCCTGGCACTGTAGGTGTGGGAAAATACAGCAGTTACAGGAAGGGCCTAGTCGGGAAATAAATATATCCCCCACCCCCCAATTGAGTGTTTGTCAGGTGGTGATGAGTAAGAGTAGGGTAAAGAGAAGGCAGAGGTGACATTATTTTGTATAATGCCCTCAGGAAAGTGATGAGGTGACAAATGAGCAGAAGTCTGAGGAAAGGAAGCAAGCAACCAGTGGAGATATCTGGGAGAAGTTTATTCCAAGTGAAGGGAGCAAGAAGTGCAAAGGGCTTAAAGTGGGTGCATGGTTGACGTGTTGTGGGACAATAGGCCAGTGTGGCTGGAGCAGAGTGGGCAAAATGGAGTTGGGGAAGGGCTTCATAGACCTTTGTAAGGAATTGGCTTTCACACGCAGGTGAAATGGGTGGACATCCTGGAGCTTGAGGGGAGGAATAGCATGGTTTAACTTGGCTTTTAAAGGCTCACTCTAGTTGCCTTGTTGAGAATAGCACTGGAAGATGGGGTTGGAGGGCAAGGATGAAAGCCGCAAGGCCGGCAGTAATGCTGCATTGGACCAAAGTCGCAGCAGTGAAAGTGTTCGGATGTTGCCAGTTGTATTTCGTTTGCCCTCCTTTGCTGCACTTGCCAGTGACTGGTATTGAGTGCCTTTTACTATGTGCGCCTTTTAAGGACTGTGAGTACCAGGCAGGATGAATAGAGGGGACCAGGCCGCTTGTCAGGAGCACTCAAGGCTTTGCAGATGGTGCTTTGGTGTTTGTGGAATAATTTGATTCTGTGGGTTGATCCCTGGTCAGATCTGGCCAAACCCAAATTCTCCTGGACTGGGAGCAAATTGAGCCCCAGTTATTTATACAGTGGAGGTACTTGTCCCTTCCTCAAAAGGCATTGCTACATTCTAAAGTGCATGTATGCAATAGGAGATATACAGTCCCCAGATTTAGCATTCTGAGGCCAACCATTGATGGCCTCTGTGCACCATGGCCAAGAGCAGAAAGGAATCTACCTCAACCAGCAGGTGAGGGGCACTCCAACAGCAAGACAAGCCTGGCCCCCTACTGCTGTGGTTAGTTTGTATAACTTACAGGAGATGTGCCTAGGAATCACCAGGCCCAAGAACACTAGAGAGTGGTCACTCCACAGAGCCTGGGAATGGCCTTGCATGCTAGAAAATAAGTCTTCAAGACATCCAGACTCATCTCTCACCATTCTTTTTTCTTCTTTGTATTTATTAGTTTCCTTAACCAAAACCACCAAGAAAGGGTTGGAACTGAAACAGAACTTGATAGAAGAGGTAAGAAGTCGTTCTTTTTCTTCTTTTAGTGCTTGTGTTTGGATTATAAAGGTAGGGATAGGACTGTTTGCTAGGGGAGCTTACTGGAGGGAGGTTTTGTTTTTGTTTTTTAAGGAAAACAAAACTGATGATTGAGCCCTTTTTCCTTTAGCAGCAGTAATACCAATAAAAATTCCCGTCATGGGGATCTCCAGCTTTGCTTGAGCTCCTCCTTTGTGCCTAGCACTGTGCTGACTGTCTCAGCATAAATCTTTCCCTCCTAGCATTCCTGTAACATAGATACTAAATTATGTTATTGCTGATTTGTTGTTGGGGTAACTGAAGCTTCACCAGGTTTGTTTGCCTACCCAAAGTCAGACTACCTAGTTACCAGGTCCAGGTGACTGCACCCACCTATCTGCACTACTTCTGACCTGCCAGTCCTGGGCTACAATAGGTCAAGAGCACTCAGTCACCTGCTAAACAGAGATTTCATTCCTTAAGAATGGAACTCTATGTCTGGCAAGGTGGCTCACATCTGTAATCCCAGCACCTTGGGAGACTGAAGTTTGAGGATCAGGAGTTCAAAGCCAGCCCCAGTAAAACCAAGGTGCTAAGCAACTCAGTGAGACTTTGTCTCTAAATAAAATACCCAATAGGACTGGGATGTGACTCAGTGATCAAGTGCCTCTGAGTTCAATCCCTGGTACCAAAAGAAATGTGGAATGCTTTGCTGGGCATGGTAGCACACACCTGTAATCCCAGCAGCTTAGGAGGCTGAGGCAGGAGGATTGTGAGTTCAAAGCCAGCCTCAGCAATTTAGTGAAGCCATAAGAAACTTAGCAAGCCTCTATCTCAAAATAAAATATAAAAAGGGCTGGAGATGTGACTCAGTGGTTGGTAGTACCCCTGGTTCAATCCCCAGTACCAGAGAGAGAGAGAGAGAGAGAGAATGGAATTCCACCTCCTGATGGCTTTGGCTTGCAACATAGGTAAAGCAGTATAAATAAGCTGCCTCCCCGAAAAGTAACAAGGCTTAAATAAAATATAAAAAGGGGCTGGGGGTGTGGCTCAGTGGTTAAGCCCCCCAGGGTTCAATCCAAAAAAAAAAAAGGCTAGAGCAGGTTCTCTCCCATCTGAGGCTACAGTTGCCCTACCCATGCTGCCCCTTGAACTCCAGAGCCTCATGAATTGTCCCACAGCTTCGGAAATGTGTGGACACATACAAGTACCTCTTCATTTTCTCTGTGGCCAACATGAGGAACAGCAAGCTGAAGGACATCAGGAATGCCTGGAAACACAGCCGGTGAGTGGGCAGAGAGAAGAGGACTCCTTGGAGTGGCAAAGGTGCCACGCTGCTCAAGAACCAGCTATAAGGGGCTGGGGTGGTGGCCCAGTGATAGAGCACCTGCCTAGTATGTATGATGCACTGGGTTAGATTCTCAGCACCACATAAAAATAAATAAAGGTCCATCAACAATTTTTAAAAAAATTAAAAAAAAAAATACAGCTGTGGGGTTGGTCGTGCTGTACCAGCGCTGGTGGAGACTGCTAGATGTGCCTCTGCCCATATCCAGATGAGGAGGGATCGTTCCGTGGCGCTCAGGGTGGGCCTGTGGAAGGATGTCGCCAGTGTTGGTTCCTGTGGTAGGAAGACAATGAAGGAACCCTGGGCTGGCAGAGCATGATGGGCCGTGTGGAGACCTAGGCGCCTCTAGCCATGCCTCCTGGCGTACTTGGGCCTGGGCTCCTGTGAATTAGAGGATTTAATGGAGAGGCAGGGCCTTCCTTCACAGCCCCCTCTTTTTCTTGGTAGGATGTTCTTTGGCAAAAACAAGGTGATGATGGTGGCCTTGGGCCGAAGCCCGTCTGATGAATACAAAGACAACCTGCACCAGGTAAATCACTGGCCCTCACAGGGAGGGGCTGAGGCTAAGCTGCCTTCTCTCCAGCCGCTCCCACGTGCCACACCCACCTCCTCCAGCCATGTGGCCAGCCCATCGACACACCTGCATGTCTTACAGCTTTGGGTTCTCCCTTCACCTTGAGATGTGAGGAGGGGTGTGGGTGTGTGTCTGTGTGTGTGTGTCTTCAACATTGTCAGGTGTCCCCTGGGGGACAAGACCACCCCCAGTAGAGAATCAGGGCTCACTTTTGGTTTGCAGGTCAGCAAGAAGTTGAGGGGTGAAGTTGGTCTTCTTTTTACCAACCGCACAAAGGAGGAGGTGAATGAGTAAGTGCTGGTGAGGAACAGAGGGAGGGAAGGTAGGAGGATCCCAAGGGCATCAAGTCGGAGCTGGCTTCTGGAAGCCTCTTACTGAGACCAGGGGCCTGTGACCAGAGGCATCTTTGTTCTCTCCAGCATGGTGACCAGCCTGGCTACAGGGCCCCAGCACACTAGCTGGGAGGACCTGACCTCAGCTGGCTGGTGGCCCAGTCTGGAACCTCCCCCGACCTCTTACTCCTCTTTTCCCCAAGGTGGTTCACAAAATACACAGAAATGGACTTTGCCCGAGCTGGCAACAAAGCAACTTTCACCGTGAGCCTGGATCCAGGGCCCCTGGAGCAGTTCCCCCACTCCATGGAGCCACAGCTGAGGCAGCTGGGCCTGCCCACTGCCCTCAAGAGAGGTACGGACAGTCCCTAGAGCTGAGAGCCACGGCCCAGAGCCCAGGAGCACGCGCACACAGGCTCTCCCCTTCCTGGCTGGGCAAGCCTCTGTTTTCTCATGTGAAAATGGAGTCGAGTGCCCCCCTCCTAGTTGGAGTGGACAGTGAGTTAAAACCAGAGTACAGCACTTAAGGAGCTTTGAGGCGGCAGCCACTGTCCCACTGAGTATGAGCCATGGGGACGATGAGCTCTCACCACATGCTTAGCTCCTGCTGCAGTGGCAGAAGGTGTCATGCAGGCCTTTGTGCAGGAGTAACGTGGCTACCCTCCTGCAGGCGTGGTGACCCTGCTGTCTGACTACGAGGTGTGCAAGGAGGGTGATGTGCTGACCCCGGAGCAGGCCCGCGTCCTGGTGAGTCTGGGACACAAGGGCTCTGGTAGGAGGGATGCCACCTGTCACCCGCTGCAAGTGTTCCCGTGTGCCTAGAGTCATACTCTTCTCCTCACTCTTACTTCCCTTTGCAGAAGCTTTTTGGGTATGAGATGGCTGAATTCAAGGTGACCATCAAATACATGTGGGATGCACAGTCTGGAAGATTCCAGCAGATGGGAGATGACTTGCCAGAAAGCGCATCTGAATCCTCAGAGGAATCAGAGGATAACGAAGATGACTGACTCGGGGACTCAGGACCGAAGGCCTTCTAGCACGTTCTGCGTCTCCATCACACCATGCAGAATTGCTACTGCCCCTCTGGAGGAAGCAGTTATTTATTTTTGCTGTTGACGAAGCCAAGTGTGGGTGCTGGGAACTGACTGTTCCATAAAGAATAAAACTTGGTCTATGGGGTGCCACCCTGTAGATAGCAGGAGACTTTTCTTAGAAAAAAGGCCTTTGGGTTTGTGCTCTGTTTGGGTTCAGTACCACCCAGTCTGGTGACCTAGATGGCCAGTACAGCTTTGGCTCCTATGGGGCCACAGTGGCAGTGCAGCTTTGCGGTTCTGTGGACAGCCAAGAGCAATCCCTAGAACTAGGCTTTGTCCTCCTTTCCAGCCTTGATGCCCTTTTGGAATAGACTTGCTGAAGAAAACCAGGCCCCTGGTGGCCCTTTGCAGCCCTGCTTACACGCTCCCTAAACCAGGGCCTGCTGGTGGCTGCCAAGAAGCCAGGGCTCTAGGATGAGAGTGAAGCCTCTGCTGGGGGTGAGAGCGAGCGTGGCGTCTCACAGCACTCTGGAGGTTCTGCTCTGGGTGGCTACCATGGTGGGTCTTTGTCCATATCGCTTCATATACAGGTATTCAGTGAAAGCATCGGATGAGAGAGCTTCTGTTTCAGGCAACATCTATTCTTTGGTTTATGTCTACTCTTCATGGCGTCTAATTCCCTTTAATCTTCCTCTGCCTTTACCTGGCCATAAAGGTATTCTGTGGGGCCTGAGTGTGTGGGTCAGTGGTAAGTGCTTGTCTAGCACAGCATGCTTGAGGTCTTGGAATCAGTTCCCAGCATCACCAAGAAATAAATTCTCTGACCTACCTGTTGGAATAGTAGGTCTTAAGACCCCCATTCCAGAGGGATCCTGCCCCATACCCTCAAGGGAGGAAAGCTGCACCAAGAGGCCAAGACAAAGCTGAACAGACAGCCGTGCTGGGATTCCCCACCCAGTCTGTTGGTAAGCATGCCAGTGCAAGGAAGCCTCCGTAGAAACACACAGGGGGCTTGATGTGGTACCCCATTGATTCCAGCTTCTCAGGAGTCTAAAGCAGGACAGGTAGATTTGAAACCATCCTGGGCGCTTAGTGAGACCCTATTTGAAAAATCGTTAATAAAGGGCTGGGGATGTAGTTCAGTGTGGAGTGTTTGCCCAGCATAGGATCAGTACCAGTACCACCAAAAACCCAGGTGCAGTGTCCACACACCTGTAATACCAGCTCACAAAGGCTGAGGCAGAAGAATTGTAATATCTTTCTTAATAAAACTGTAAACAAAGAACTATAAGCAGTGAGTTCTGTGAGTTGCTTAAGCAGATTAACCCTGAGGAACCCTGGTTGTAGCCAGTGGGTCAGAAGCACAGGTAAAGCAACATGGAATTTGCAATGTCATCTGAAGCGTTGGGGGGCAGTCTTGGCGACTGCACCCCTAATCTGTGAGACTGTGGGATCTGATACTGTCTCCAAGAAGGTAGTTTGGGGATCAGGTTGGATAGAGCACCCCACTGGTGTCCACTGCTGCTGAATGGTCTGTTCCTTTGCTGGGTGAAAACCTCCCTGTTGATAGGGCACGAGGGGGAGGAAGGCCACTGCTTTTCCTATCAGCGTCATGCATGGCCCTCTACCCATCAGGCACATAAGAGTGAGGCCACTCACAGACCCGCTGTTGAAAGGGCAAGCTAGATTCAAGAGGTGGGGGCTGGGAGACTCTGCTGCTTGAAGACTTCAACCCATACTCCTCCTCCCCCAGAACAGCAGAAAGCAGCCTTTGGCAGCAGAGGAAATATTCACCAGGTTCACCTCAGGCCTGGGCTTCAGCCAGGCCAAGTGCCAACTTTATTCAACAGGAGATGCTGGGGCCGAGCTCAGGTGGCCCCGCATTGTGAAGGCATCTGGGAGTATTGTAAGAAAACAGAAGAAAAATGATCTGCGAACTGTGGTGAGGAGGGAGAGAAGGGCCAAATCAACTGAAGGCTAAAACTGGCCAGGGTAGCAAAAAGAGGACAGGCAGTGCTCTGCACCCGAAGTCGGGTTCAGGCCTAGCGGAAGTATTTGGGACACTCGTGAGCAACCAGGTGCCAGGCTTGATCAAAGGCATCTACAACAGCTGGCTCCAGGGGCCCTTCTTCAGCTGCAGCCAAGTTCTGCTCCAGCTGCTCCAGGCTGGTCATGCCCAGGATGACGGCGTCCCCATGGGCGCCCTATAAGGGGAGAAGGCCAGACTTCAGCATGCTTCTCTGTCCAGTGGCTCCAATCATATGTCCCTCCCTGCCCTGCCCCTGCCAAGATCTTGGATCCATTATTTAAGTCTTTTATTATTCTGGCAAGAATTTCTGTTGCCCCCAAATAGTCACAGCCATGTGGCTCATAGAGCCACCCCTCCATGTCTCATCAGTAGAGAGCCTCAGCAGCGGGGTAGGGCTGGTCACTTTCCATTTCCAACTGCCTTTACTTTGGAGGGTGGCTGTAGCAATTACATATTTCACAAAGTACTTTGCTCCAGGTCTGGTTCTTTTTTTTTAATATTTATTTTTTAGTTTTAGGTGGACAGAATATCTTTATTTTCACGTGGTGCTGAGAATAGAACCCAGTGCCTCACGCATGATAGGCGAGCGCGCTACCACTTGCGCCATATCCCCAGCCCCAGGTCTGGGGCTTAACAGATGCTCGCTAAAGGGGAGCCATTTCCCTAGAATGCCCACCCTGGAGAAACCAGTCAGGAAGACTGGGGCAGCAGGGGGAGAGGGAGATCCCCAGCCACAGGTGTAGAGCTGGGGTCTGTCCAGGATGGGCAGGCAGAGAGGCAATAATTGCTAATGGTTAAAACAATGGAACTGGGTATGGTAGCCTGTAATCCCACCACTGGGGAGGCCAAGTCAGGGAGAGCCCCAGCCTCAGCAACTTAACAAGACCTGTCTCAAAAAGTTAAAAAAAAGGGGGGGGGGGGGGCTCAGGATATAGCTCAGTAGTAGAGAACCCTGGGTTCAATCCCCAGGACCAAGAAAAAAACCACAAAACTAAAAACATAAATGCAGATTTCAGAGTCAAATCCTTACTTACTCCCTACCACATGAAGCTGTGGGAACTGAGGCAAATGAAATAGCATCTCTGAGCCAATATGGTAAGCTGGCACTTCAGTAACTGCTCTAGAACAACAGAAAGGCCACCCAAAAGAACTGAGCCATTTCAGAGGAAGAAAAAGAGTAATCACAGAAATAGCTGAATAATTGTATAGCCCCCTCCCCTCTTCCCTATCTCACCCCCACCCCTAATATAAAAGCAGAAGCTGTGCCCCAGGGACAGCTGGTTACCTGCAACTTCGAGTGGTGGTACATCCACCTCAGGGCGGCCGAGGTCATGCTGGGGGCGCTGGTGCCATAGGTGGCCTGCAGGGCCTTCTCCATCAGGGCAATGGCCTTGAAGTGGTCCTCCTTCCAGAAGCTGAGCAGGTGGGGAGGATGGAACAAGGGTCAGTACCTTGGGGTCATTCCAGGGTGGCCCAGTCCTAGACACACTGAGACCAGCATCCTCAAGTAGAAGTGTTAAATTTTGAACTTCAGAATGCTTGCAGATTTCCAGGTGCCCTGTTTTGAGTCCGGGGATGCACTGGGCAAGAATCCTGGCATTTAACATGCCCAGCAGGCGGTAACAATGCAGCTCCCAAATCAGGATGCTCACGTACCTATAGCACCACATCTGTGTGCCCTGGGTCACAGGAAGGACCCATGACAAGTTCTGGGCCCAGGTCCAGCTTCTGTGGCCTTGGCTAAGCCACCTCCCTTCCCTGCCCTCAATTATCTGCTCAGTGAAGGAAACACTCCCTGCCTGTCCCATATAGTGACTACAAGAGGTGACAAACTGATCATGCCTTGTGGACAGGAGAGGGTGCACCAGAGAAGACCATCAGGCCCTGATTCTCCAGAGCTGAGGCCTGCTCCCTGGCACAAGCAAGCAAAAAGGAACTTGAGAAGCACAGACCAGGGCCATGGTTCCTAAACACATCAGGAAGGACCTGAAACCCGGGGGGGTGGGGGTGTGCAGATAAGCCTTTAAATCAGCAAAGTACCCAAAGTGAGCACAAATATCAGATGCTCTGCCTCTTCGTCCCTGGCCATTTCACGAAACTAGCACTGGGGTCCCCTGCACACTGCTTGACTTGCTCTACCTTCCCCTCCCTTGGGGGAAAAAGAAAAGCAAATATCTAGAATTAACTTTGTGATCTGAGGTATACACTTTGTTGCCATTCTTTAATTCATTAAATTGACACGTCCCCTTGGACTGCTGGAGAACTATTTCTCAATTTGCAGAAGTCAAGCCTCCAAGGTTAATTTCTGTGTACAGTATGATCTATTTGCAGGTGGTGAGGGAGATGAAGAAGGGCATAGGAGGCTGGGGGTGTGGCTCAGTGGTAGAGCGCTGCCTAGCATGGGTGAGGTACTGGCTTTGATTCTCATAAATAAATAAAATAATAGATCCATTGACAACTAAAAAATTAAAAATAAAAAAGAAGGGCACAGGAAGTCGGGGCAAGATGATAAGTGAGGAGGTCGCAGGCAGGACCAGAATAAAGGGGCAAGAAGAGGGTCTTCTGATGAGGTCAACTTCTTGCGTGGACAGAGGGGGCACTGATCAATGAGAGCGAGGAGCATGTAGATGGGGAAAGAGATAAGGAAAGGAGGAAATTCCAGAGACCATAAAAAGCACAGGTCAAAACTCCCCCACCAGACTCCCAGCTCTGGGGCCCCTTCTCTCTGGAGAAGTCTATCTCTGTCACTTTTACAATAAACCTATTTCAGGGCTGGGGTTGGGGCTTAGTGGTAGAGCACTTGCCTAGCACACGAGAGGCACTGGGTTCAATCCCTGGCACCACATAAAAAATAAATAAAATAAAGATTAAAACAACAACAAAAAAAAAAACCAATAAACCTATTTCTTTGCTTCCTTTCTGTGTGTCCTGTTCTTCAATTCTTTTCTGAACAGAGACAAAGAACCCAGAACTCCTAGATGGTACCAGTGGCACATGCCTATAATTTCAGTGAGTCAGAAGGATTGAGACCAGCCTTAGCAATTTAAAGAGACTCCCAGCAGCCAGGCGTGGTGCACACCTATAATCCCAGCAGTTCGGGAGGCTGAGACAGGAGAATCATGAGTTCAAAGTCAGCCTCAGCAACGGTAAGGCGCTAAGCAACTCTAAGACCCTATCTCAAAAATGAAAAAGGGCTGGGGATGTGGCTCAGTGGTCGAGTGCCCCCGAGTTCAATCCCTGGTACCAAAAATAAATAAATAAAGACTCTCAGTAACTTAGTGACACCCTGTCTCAAAAAGTAAAAGTGTGGGAAGCGGTGCCTAGTGTTGTGGCTCAGCGATAGATAAGCACAACCTAGACAGGCACAACCTAGACAGGCACAACCTAGATAGGCACAACCTAGCACGAGTGAGGCCATAGGTTCATCCTCAGCCCCACATAAAAATCAATAAAGATATTGTGTCCAACTACAATTTAAAAAATTAATATTTTTTAAAAAATAAAATGGGGACTGGGTATAGATATAGCTCAGTTGGTAGAGTCCTTGTCTCGCATGCACAAGGCCCTGGGTTCAATCCCCAGCACCACTATATATATAAAAGCCAAATATATAAAAGGGGTTGGAGGCATAGCTCAATGGTTAAGTACTGTGGGTTCAATCTTTCGTGCAAATGAATAAATGAATGAAATAAAATATTTTTTTTTTTAAAGAAAAGGAAGGGAAAAAGTGGCTGGCCCCAACAGCTGTCCAACCAACTGACTTGAGGCACTGATGACAGTGTCACTGCCAAGAGTTTACAAGACTCAGCGTGCCCCAGGGGACAGGGCCAGCACCGAGTCCCAATTTCCCCCAAGTCCATCCACAGTTGTCCCCTGCTGTGGACCCTGGAGGAGCTCTTCCCAGGGAAGAGACAACAGTGCAGACTGGAAGAAAGCAGGGATGCACATCCCAGCCCCAGGTCCCTTCCCAGAGGCCATGAGGACAGCAAAGGGGGAGAAGGGGCACCGTAAAGCCCCTGGGAACCCAGAGACCTAGTTCTGAGCAGCAGGGGAAGAGGCTGCCCCGGGAAAGCAGTCTCAGGGATCACTGTCTCAAACTAAGGGAACCCACCCACATCCCATCCTGACCGTCCACCCAGCTCACCGATTCCTGTAGATCTCAGCCCAGATATTCCCGAAGAAGCGGCCCAGCGGCTGTTTCCCGTCCTTGTCCTCGTACTTGTACTTGCCGGTCAGCAGGCCCCCTGCAGAAGCATGCATCA